TGGGGGGGTGGCTTGAGGAAGGTGGGGGGGTAATCTTGGCTTATCTTTGGTAATATTTGATCATTTCGGTGTAAATAAAAACAACTTCAAAGTATTTCTATCCAATTCATGAAGATTAAACATATTCTGGGGAGGAGAACTATGAAGAAGGGTCACAGAGGGGTCAGTCAGTGAAGGGGTGGTCACAGAGGGGTCAGTCAGTGAAGGGGTGGTCACAGAGGGGTCAGTCAGGCAAGAGTTGGTCACAGAGGGGTCAGTCAGGGAACGGTTGGTCACGGAGGGGTCAGTCAGAGAAGGGTTGGTCACAGAGGGGTCAGTCAGGGAAGGGTTGGTCACAAAGGGGTCAGTCAGGGAACGGTTGGTCACAAAGGGTTCAGTCAGGGAAGAGTTGATCACAGAGGGGTCAGTCAAAGAAGGGGTGGTCACAGAGGGGTCAGTCAGGGAAGAGTTGGTCACAGGGGGGTCAGTCAGTGAAGGGTTGGTCACAGAGAGGCAGTCAGGGAAGGGGTAGTCACAGAGAGGTCAGTCAGGGAAGGGTTGGTCACAGAGGGGTCAGTCAGGGAAGAGTTAGTCACAGGGGGGTCAGTCAGGGAAGGGTTGGTCACAGAGGGGCAGTCAGGGAAGGGGTAGTCACAGAGAGGTCAGTCAGGGAAGGGTTGGTCACAGAGAGGCAGTCAGGGAAGGGGTAGTCACAGAGAGGTCAGTCAGGGAAGGGTTGGTCACAGAGAGGCAGTCAGGGAAGGGGTAGTCACAGAGAGGTCAGTCAGGGAAGGGTTGGTCACAGAGAGGCAGTCAGGGAAGGGGTAGTCACAGAGAGGTCAGTCAGGGAAGGGTTGGTCACAGAGAGGCAGTCAGGGAAGGGGTAGTCACAGAGAGGTCAGTCAGGGAAGGGTTGGTCACAGAGAGGCAGTCAGGGAAGGGGTAGTCACAGAGAGGTCAGTCAGGGAAGGGTTGGTCACAGAGAGGCAGTCAGGGAAGGGGTAGTCACAGAGAGGTCAGTCAGGGAAGGGTTGGTCACAGAGAGGCAGTCAGGGAAGGGGTAGTCACAGAGAGGTCAGTCAGGGAAGGGTTGGTCACAGAGAGGCAGTCAGGGAAGGGGTAGTCACAGAGAGGTCAGTCAGGGAAGGGTTGGTCACAGAGAGGCAGTCAGGGAAGGGGTAGTCACAGAGAGGTCAGTCAGGGAAGGGTTGGTCACAGAGAGGCAGTCAGGGAAGGGGTAGTCACAGAGAGGTCAGTCAGGGAAGGGTTGGTCACAGAGAGGCAGTCAGGGAAGGGGTAGTCACAGAGAGGTCAGTCAGGGAAGGGTTGGTCACAGAGAGGCAGTCAGGGAAGGGGTAGTCACAGAGAGGTCAGTCAGGGAAGGGTTGGTCACAGAGAGGCAGTCAGGGAAGGGGTAGTCACAGAGAGGTCAGTCAGGGAAGGGTTGGTCACAGAGAGGCAGTCAGGGAAGGGGTAGTCACAGAGAGGTCAGTCAGGGAAGGGTTGGTCACAGAGAGGCAGTCAGGGAAGGGGTAGTCACAGAGAGGTCAGTCAGGGAAGGGTTGGTCACAGAGAGGCAGTCAGGGAAGGGGTAGTCACAGAGAGGTCAGTCAGGGAAGGGTTGGTCACAGAGAGGCAGTCAGGGAAGGGGTAGTCACAGAGAGGTCAGTCAGGGAAGGGTTGGTCACAGAGAGGCAGTCAGGGAAGGGGTAGTCACAGAGAGGTCAGTCAGGGAAGGGTTGGTCACAGAGAGGCAGTCAGGGAAGGGGTAGTCACAGAGAGGTCAGTCAGGGAAGGGTTGGTCACAGAGAGGCAGTCAGGGAAGGGGTAGTCACAGAGAGGTCAGTCAGGGAAGGGTTGGTCACAGAGAGGCAGTCAGGGAAGGGGTAGTCACAGAGAGGTCAGTCAGGGAAGGGTTGGTCACAGAGAGGCAGTCAGGGAAGGGGTAGTCACAGAGAGGTCAGTCAGGGAAGGGTTGGTCACAGAGAGGCAGTCAGGGAAGGGGTAGTCACAGAGAGGTCAGTCAGGGAAGGGTTGGTCACAGAGAGGCAGT